CTCAGACGTGCCAAATAAGACACATGAGTCCATGTTTATCTTATATTTTATTATGTCAGCTTGAAACCATACAACCACGTAGTGTAGTCAAAGAGGAATGTGCATGGCGAATCAAATCCCAAACAATCATGAACCATTAAGTGACACGTCTTGATTGCACTTCATTTTCCTGACCACTAGATGTCCACCTCGAGCTCTTTTGTCATTTATATTTGATTATGGCAGTTTTGGTACTCCAATACAACAAAGCCTCTATCACCCATCACTAGCTCCATTCCCTTCTTATACCAACTACACTGACCTTGTTTTCAAGACAGCTAGTGAATTCAAACCGACCAATCACAGATGGGACCATGTAGAACGAACCAATTTTACCACGCCCACTTCCGAAAGAACCCACCAATGATTGACGAGGTGGGCAGGGCCTAAAGAATTACAGTGGCAGATTCAAACTGAGTATGGCTGCGGGTAAAGATGTCGATGAAAACACACAAAATAGGAGGTAAGAATAGATTGAGACAGATATTGACAAGTTTTAATTGTATTTACCGATAAAGTTAAAGTTGTGAAATTTGAAACTGACATGCAAAATTTGTGTTAGGGAGACTAAGTGAGAAAGGCTGTTATTCTTAAGCCGTTAACAGCCCTCAAGCTAAGTCATTTAGCTAGTGAGCTAATGTTAAAGCTACCAGCTTAGCGTTAGCGTTAGCGTTATAATAACAAAGCTGAAAGTTCACATTAGGGAAGGTAAAATTTGGTAGAAATTTCGATGCTTGGTCAACAGTTAATTCACAAATACGTTAAGCAATGTTAGTAGAGAACCTCAGTTTGCATTAGCAAACGTTAACGTTTACATAACTGCACAGTAGCTAATTGAATTAAAACTCGTAAAGTTAGCTAACCTAGCTGTCGGTTAATGTCAGGCTAATGGTATAGTATTGTACACTTAATGCACTTTTCCTATGTTACTTGTACACCTTGTACATGCTTCGACACAGTATGAATTGCTGCGCAGTAAATTCTACCTTTTGGCGTATGTATTCAACTGTCAGAGAGGTGTTGATTCAGCTTTGTGGTACAGGAGCGCCACAGTTTGATCCCCTTCAGTATCAAAAGACATTTTAAGGATTATTCTTAGTATATGGCAACCAACACAAGTTTAGTTATCTGTGGGGGAAACCTAAGCAAGGGACAAAATGCAAAGGACCAGAAAGACATTTGATGTGGTAATGTATGAGTTGAATAATCCAGAGCTAAAACAAAGGTTCATAATTACCAATTAAAGCATACATAGGGTCATCAAGCAGCATTTGTCACCTAGTATCTTTTTACTTGCCTGTGATGTCCCGTCACATATAGGTAACTGCATGTACAATCTTCCTGTGTCTCAGAGGTACAGTGTGCAGTATGGTGATCAATCATGAAGAATCGCTGGGGGGCTCCCATACTGGCCGACCACCAGTTATTTTCAACCCGGACTTTTTTGTGGAGAAACTTCGCCATGAAAGCCCAGATGCTTTCCTGGAGCTGGTGCTGAGCAACATTACTCGCCTTATTGATCTTCCTGGGGCAGAGTTTGCTCAGCTCCTTGGCGAGGAGGGCCCTAAGACCCCAACAGGTGGAAACGGAGGCTTCTTCCGGTCTTTCAACTTCCTTAAACGCAAAGGTCAGAATTCAACTAATTAACATGTAGAAATTGAACTTGGACAGATTCTGCTCCATCGGTTCCAGAAGATGAATGCTGTCTAGAACCCCACGACACATTTTTAGATCACAGCTTGTACTAAAGACACAACAGGGAACATGACTACCTTTACTGTAGCATGTTATTTCATGGTTGTAGGTAGGTAGGTACTTTATTGATCCCTCAATGGGGAAATTTCAGTGTTTCAGCAGCAATGGAGAACAAACAACATAAACAACCATGAAGCAGCAATGGAGAACAAACAACATAAATAACCATGAGAACAAGCATCATGCATATCTTGATAAACAAGTTTCAGTACCTCAAGCAGCAATAGAGAACAGACAGCATTACACCATGAGAACAAGCACCGCACACACATCCTGATAAATAAATTCCAAGTACTCAAAAATAGACAGAATCAAGTATGTGAATAATCAAGAACAGAATTTGCATATGTGCATGTTAACCATGCATTTTACCCCAGGATTTGAGTATTGCACCTCAGTTGACTATTACATAGTCCCTCATACTTTCACCTAGCTTATCCCTACAGTGATGTATTGTACAGTCTGATTGCTGTGGGGAGGAACGACCTATGGTAACACTCCTTCTTACACTGGGGATGTAACAGTCTGGTGCTAAAGGAACTGTTCAGAGCCTCTACTGTGTGGTGCAGGGGATGGGAGGGGTCGTGCATGATGGATGTTAGTTTAACCAGCATCCTTCTGTCCGCCACCTCCTCGATGGAATCATCTCATGTACAGATTTGTACACTATCTGTTCCATTTTTTGAAGGTTAGTTTTTCTATAAAAGCTGTGCTGTTGTGTAGTGGTGTGTGAATCATCGTTAGATTTTTTTCCAAAGTGTTTTTCATGCTTATTTGTGGTCAGACTTTCCTACTTTAATTCATGTGAAGAAGAAACATGAGCTGTTTCTCTGAGGAGTCTTTCAGTGACTTTAAGTGTTACCACTTGCTGCCCTCTCTCCTTGTACTTTCTCAGATAAAGGTGTTGTGTTTGGAACCCCGTTGACAGAGAGCTGCATCGCCCAGATCTATCAGCTCATTGAATACCTCAGCAAAAGTGAGTCATCTCAACAAATTCACTGTTTCTTTAATCACAGTTGTTCTAGACGATCTCACCACTCTGCCATTCAGAAGCTAGCAGCACCAGCTAGCAGCTATTTAAAAGCACAGACTATTAGGGAAAATGACTTTATTGGATTTTAACATGCTTGGTTTCTTTTATACTATAAACAGTCCTTTTGTCTGCCATCAACCCATTACCACTCACCAATGTGGATAACAATTTTTTTGTCTTTTTTTTTTTTGGAATAGTGTTGCTAGCATGTTTTCTGTTGGTCCTAATTAGATAGAATATGTGATAGATTTAGAATTACTCGATGATTCCCTTCTGCTCTTAGATCTGCATGTGGAGGGTCTGTTTCGGGTGCCGGGGAACAGTGTGCGGCAGCAGGCCCTGAAGGAGCTCCTCAACAGCGGGGCTGATGTCGACCTGAGGTCTGGAGACTTTCACCCTAATGATGTGGCCACATTGCTCAAGACTTTCCTGGGAGAGCTGCCCGAGCCTCTGCTCACACACAGACATTTCCATGCACACCTTAAGATAGCTGGTAAGAAAAAAAAAAAAACAGTTAATACCTTTATCCAGAATTAGGAGGCTAATACTGTACAGGTGGATAAAAACTCCATTCATGACTTTACTACCTCGACTTTTGTCCCTTTTGCAGACATGACCCTGTTTGACGAGCAAGGCAACAAGACTGCAATACCCAACAAGGAGCGTCAGATCGAGGCCCTGCAGCTTCTCTTCCTGCTGTTACCCCAGGCCAACCGCTCACTGCTCAAACTGTTGCTGGACCTGCTCTACCACACTGCCAAGCAGCAGGACAAGAACAAGATGTCAGCCTTCAACCTGGCCCTGATGTTTGCCCCGCATGTCCTCTGGCCCAGACATGTAAGACTTGTACTTTTTGGCACGGGTTTAAGGGCATATAATTGCTAAAGTCGTAATCAAGATAATGTTGCTTAATTTGGAAGCACAGTTGATTACTGCAGTTTGTTTTCCACCATTTAGACAACCTGTTTTAATTGTGGGTGATCTCTTTAAACTGCCTTTAGAGTCGCATTACACTTAGACACTATTTGCAGAATATAAAGATCCTCAGTTTTGTCACCTGACTGGTAGTATTGGAAAAGACTTGTGGCTCGGTAGTGAGACTCACTGTAGGTGAGATTATTTTCTCTCCCCTACTGGGACAGCTTTACATGAAGTGTGACTTATGATGTGTCCTGTCTCCAGATGACAGCTGCTGACCTGAAAGACAATCTGAAGAAACTGAACAACAGCATGGCCTTCCTCATCAAGTATTCACAGAAACTCTTCAGGGTGATTAGCGACCACACGCATGGCCGAAGTCTGGAAACACTCTTAAGAATCATGCACAGAAACAAAGTTGGCTTTCGAAACATATGATGTGACTGTTTTAGTGGATGGCCTGTGGATGGGTGACGTGTTTACTGTATGTTGTTCAGGCTCCAGTCTACTTGCGGGAATATGCCAGAGTGCACTTCACTGGGACCAAGGCTTTGCAGACTAAGGTGAGTTGACCAGTAATTTTTTTCCCTCTTTAGAGAAATAAAAATATACATGCAATAAAATAAACAGCATCCAGCATTAAGATGATCAGCAGGTTTTCTTTGCTTACAGTCAAATCCAGCTTTTAGAAGGGATAAAAACTGTGAAAGAGTTTAAATGGACAACACAGTCGATGGTTTGAGTGTAACTGAAGTGTTTCTTAAAGGAGGGTGAAAGAAAATGTAGCAACAGTGATGGTGTATGTCGAACTGTCTTTTGCCTTTTCACCTGATCCGAACCCAACAGGACCCGCCGGTACCGGAGGGTTCAGACAAAAATTTAGAAATTATGTTTGGGTCATGATCGGGTTTTGGACAGGTTGTACTTTAGGCTATATGGCTGGAGCACTCAAATGTCTGCTTCGTTTGATGAAAAGAGTAAAAACACTATACAAAGTCAACTGCATCAGGCTCAGATTGGGTTTCACATTATATACTATAAGACTGTCAGGCTCCAGTTGGGTTAGGATGCCACACTCTTAGGCACGGGTCAGGTTTGGACAGGAATATTCGGTCCATTCCATGCTCTAGTGCATAGTCTGACTTGCTCTTTCCACTCTCAGGATGATCTGGACCTGCTGGCAGTGAGCAGCTCTCCTGCTCAGCGGACAGCGTTGCCCCTGAAGAGGACAGCTGTTACGGGCCCCAGCTCTCAGGAGCAGTGCCAGTCGCCGGCTCAACAGTACACAGAGGAGGCCCTGAAGGAGCTCTTCAGACACGTCCACCACAACATGCCCGACTCCGCCAAGAAGAAGAAACTTGTCAGACAGGTTCTCTACCAGGTCTTCTTACTGTCTTAGAGTCTGCCTGCTTTAACTTACAGCTTCATCCGCTGTTGAACTTCTCCAAGCCAAATGACTGTGTGCTTCTAATAACATACTGTATAAATGGCATTTTCTTTTTTCCTTCGTGCAGTTAGTCAAACAGACAACCACAGGGACGCCTACTAATGAGCATCGTGACACTGCAGCTCCCAGCAAGAAACATCCCCGCTCACGCTCTTTTGGTGGCCTCATCAAGGTATGGAGGTCCTGGGCAATTAAGTGAGAGAAGTCAACCTGATCATTTCTGTATTTCATTTTCATAGACTTACAGTACATGGAAGATGTCCTCAGAGTTATTGCACATACTGTGTTAATGTTAGAAAAGAGTTTTCTTAAACCAAAAAGGTTTCAGTGGTCCTAGTCACAGCATCATGCTCACAGAAATATGGCTCTGTGTGGCTGTTGTGTATATGTGTATACACAATATATTCTTAGGGTTTTCTGTTTTATGCTGATGGACTGTTAAGACCATGTTAGTTTGCTTTAGTCACAGTTCAAGTGACATCGATTTTGGTGATAATTTAAATAACTTGTTGAGTAAAAATAAACTTCAGCAGGCAGACACTGTGAGCTGCTACTTGGGTTGGTTGGTAAAGTGTGATGAGGATTTCTTATTTGCACAGTTATGGAAGTACATTGTCTCCCTTGCTACATGCTTTGTTTTGCCTCCATGACCAGTCTGATTGTTTCATCAAAGGATTTTACTGGGAAATTGGGATTTGTCACTCGAGCGCACATGCAGTGTCTTTTCTCTGTTAACATGACTTTGTATAACATGTTTTCTCCCACCTGATGCTCTGCTAACAGCGCAGAGCTCGTGGTGAGCAGCTGACTGCAGAAAGGCGCCTGAGACACATTTCCCCCGACACTGTCACCAGGGCAGGAAGGAAACCTGGCAAAGAGAACGTCATCCAGCGAGGGGTGAGGTTTTTTTTAAACCACGCTGGCAAAGCAGAACCTAATGTGCTTCATACCTTTGCTGCACTTTTTCCCTGTGTTACACACTTTTCTTGGTTTTCTATTTGCTTTTTTTCTTCCATCTACCACAGAATTAGCAGATGACCTGAAATTTTAATTTTGCTGTTTTGTGTGTGTGTGCGCGCACGTGCAGGAGGACAGCCTGTTCAACGGCCCTGTGTTTGGGAAGGCAGGGCTGATAGTAAACCACCCAGACTTTACTTTTGATAAAGACAAAGCTCTGAAGGTTTCCAAGGTATGACACTGATTTCCTCTGTTCTTCTTCACATGATAGAAAAATCACAGTTCAAGTGCTGTACTGTACCTCAGAGGTACGCAAACCTAGTACTATTATGTAGCAAAATGTTTGAAGCCTTGTTTTATAGCTTGACTTTTTTTTACTAGTAGCTTGTTGTTGTTGTTGTTGGTTTCTGTGTGTGTGTGTGTCCTGTATTACAATTACAAAGTAAAGTGAAAAAATATTTCTAAGGAAATGCTGCCACCTTATGTTTGAAGGGAATTATTTTTAATTATTTGTTTTCTCAGGCCTATGATGCCACAGTTTGAAGTTCTTTAATATATATATTTTGCATGTGGGCTTTTTAATGTTATTATTTGGTTCCATGTGGCAAAAGAAACTGATGATGATTATGTAAAATGTGTGCAGACACCATGATACAGTGGTACATTTGTTTTTTGGTGATTTTATAGATTATTATGTTTGAATTTCAGTGTTTAGTTGTAATTTAAAATCCTTCCAAACTTCAGCATCTCTGTCCTCACTCTGCTCGTCTCTCAACAGGACTGTCCCCCTGTGTCCAGGACGGGCGTCTCTCCTGCTCAGGAGGTCTCTGTGTAGAAACTGGACACCTCCTCACCTCAGCCTGGACGTTGGCAGTATTAATATTGTTACTCATGTTTATCGCTGTGTTTTCATTGTAGTGAGTTTCCTTTAACTGTGACTAATATACAGCAGCTGCAGCCAAACCAAAGCCAGAACCTCTGTGTCCCGTCACCGCTGGACACATCAGGGTGTGACTGAGTGTTTACTAACCGGTACCGTCGATGCTGCTTTCATAGAGATTTTAAATAATTTATGGCTGGTTAATAGAGATAAGAGCAGTAGAATGCAAATCAAACTTGCTGTCACACATACAATATATTTGATAAATGGTAATGCTTCCAAAAATCTCAGTGCTGCAAAAATTCCCAATTTTATTTTCAGCTCAGTTTGTTAGTGGTGGTTCTAATTGATTTGGCGGCAATATTGAATTATTGGTTCTGAAGGAATGTACAGCAGCTGCAGCGTCCACTGTAGAGTTGTATTTAGCAGAAATCTGCTCAAAGATGATGTTTTAAAACATTCTCACATCAGCATTACTATTCAACACATTTCATGGTGCTCTTCCTCGATTAAACGCTGATCTAAACTCGGGTCGTCGCCCGGCTCTGCCTAAAGGTAGAGTTTGAGGATCTTTGCTTTGGTTTGGCTTCGCTGGCTCGGGCCTGCTGGTGTCAGTTATCACTTGATACCCGTGTTGTTACTGCAGCTACTGCATCAGAATCTATGACCACTATCTAGCTCAGCTTAGAATATCTATACATGTTGTACAGTGTGTGTTGAAGTTTTTAGACTGTTTGTTTTTAAAGGGAACTGTGATGTGTCCTTTTGGTTACTGGACAGTTATTGGGTGAACAGTAGGACTGGAGTAATAAGCATCTTCACTCTTCTCCCAGGGTTTTTCCACTATGAAATCCATGTTTGTGAATCTGTCAAATATGAAATGTTACATTCACGAAATAGCATATGGGATTTAAAAATAATTTTTAAAACGTCTTTAAATTTTATTTAAATTTTTTATCTGTCCTTGAACCAGGTCATGGAGGGGGTCATCATTTTTATTTTGGCAAAGGTGGTTGGGAGGTTTGTTATGCTGATGGTTTACATGAATGTTGAAGGAATGTTTATTTTGTCAGTATTTCTTCTGATGGAAATGAGCAGCCAGGTGTGTGTTTGCTGGTTTACTGTGAAGGGCAGGTGTGTTAAGAAGAGGCCATACTCTGTTGAGTGTGAGGACGATAAGCAAGAAGCTCAACGCTGTCACTTTTGTCTGTTTGAGCACAACTCTGATGAAACGGGCCTGTTGCAGTTGAGTTTAGTGTTTCATTCTAAACTATTTAAACTGATAAATTAAAAATGTTCTTGGGCTCGTATGTGATTAAAGGGATTTTAAGTCATTTACAGGAGGAATGTACCAACTTGACAGGTGTCTGACAAGCCAACATAAAGGTCTAGTAAAGATACCGTTTTTGTTTGACCCTGTGCTGAGTATTAATGTTTCTTCACCAAATAATCTTAATATCTCAAATGTTTGATCAATCTGGGAACTGTGAACACAAACAGTTGCAGTCGGTTGCTTTAAATTCAATATAAAATTACCAAAATTGTGATTGAACTGTGTAACTAATGGCACCTTTTAGTACTTAAAAAAAAAAAGAAATATATATATACACACAATTGCTGGTGTGCAGGTTTAGTCATTGCTGAAGAAGCTCATATTCCTAATCTGAAAGCTGTTTCACAGCACAGATGCATTGTGGGTTTGAATTAGCAGAAAGTGAAAATTTTACTTGGTGCCTCTGTGTAATTTCATTTTTCTTCACACTCCTCAATTCCTTCAAGTTCATGGCTTGACTGAAGGCGCCTGCTCAGTTTGTTGTAAAGCGATGCACCAGTTCCAGTTCAGTGCTGGGAGCTAATCTGATTTCCCCCCAGTGCAGTGCTTGATGGAGAACTTGCATGTTTCTTGCAGTCCTTCACAGGGAGGTTGACTGCAGAGCATCTGGGTTTTGCTTTTGGTGATGATGGGGTTGTTTTTTTTGTGTGTGTCTTGTTTCACCCCTTGGTGTCAGGAAGCTGTTATTGGTGCATCTTGTTTTGTATGTTGTGAATGTTGTAACTGGGTTTGTTGAAGGTGATTAGGCTGTTGGACATGACTGACATGTCGGGTACAGATGGACACAGAAAGACCTTTTGTCATAACAATGGACTTTTTTTTTTTTTTTTAAATGAATTGATCTCAGCTGAGAAACCATCTGAAACAGGTGGGATCTCCACATTGACTTTTCTCTCTCCCTCGTTCTCTTCAGTTCTCAGCACTACAGTTTTAATGGAGAGCTAAATTGGACTATTTATTATAGTTGGGTAACGAATGCATTTTGAACTCTCTGGAATGTGGATAACAATGGACATTGTGTTTTTTTTTTGTTGTTGTTGTTTTTTTTTTTCCTCTTTTTAGTTTACTTTTGTCACTCAGTTACATTTTGTGTGATGAGAAATACTGTTTAACTTTAAAAGTCAGCATAACCTTTTGGATCCTTGCAGTCTTAACACATCCAGTTGGTTTGTTTTCTCTTTATATGAGTGTGAATAACAGAGTTGCTGGTCTCTACACGATGTACTTGCTGTGAATGGTCCCGGACGAGTTCCTCTGAGCACTGAAAACAACTGGAACACAGATGAAAGTTTATTATGACAAAAGCGGGTCAAATTTTAAATTTTACCTCAAATGTTCGGTTCCACCTTTTTCTTCTGTTGAGGCCCAGTGACACGAAGAGAAATGTACATACTGAGTTTTTATTAGGGCTAAATGTGATCGACTAAGTTCAGGTTTCCAGTGTCATGATGAACTCCTCTTGGACATGTTCCATCATCTGGTTTAAACTGTGATAACCTTTGTTTTTTTGTTTGTATCTTAGTGTAAAATAAGCTAACAGTGTACAGTGGATTCCTGGGCGAATGATGCGCTTTGGATTAAAACTTTTTTATGTTTTCCTACAGAATATCTGTTTTTCTTGATGTTTCAGTTGTTACTGTTTTTGCTTGGAGTGCGGTATATGGTGCGCTTCAGAAGTCAGTGCTCGAGACGGTTCATCAGTGTAGAGCTTCTGTTTGTTCACTAGAGGGCAGTATTGGCTGATATAGTTGTATGTTCGTGTGCGCAGCCGGGCTCATAATGATAGTCACAAACATCAAGTTTACAAGCTTCTCAGTGGCTTTTACTCTTCACAAATAACTGCATTACATTATTTTGCATGTATTTAATGGTTCATGGTCAGGCCTCCATGTTCAGTGGACGGAGCATAGTTTGGTTTTGTTTGCTGTGATGGTTTGATATTTATTCTGCTTTAGTTTCAACCAGATTAATTCTGTATAATTGATGTAATTTTATTAGACTATTATTGATGCCCATAGAGGAAGCTGTCTCCCAGCCCCCCCAAGAAGGTCAGAGGTCAGGTTCAGCCAGTAATGTGACCCAGGAGCTGGTAGGGATTCAACAGTGTTTCTTCTGCTTTCAGATCATCTCTCACATCACACAGCGTCCTTCACTCTGTCACTGAAACACCAGTTTCCACAGATTATCTTTGTACCAGGTCAGAAGCCTCTAGTCTATTGGTAGCATGACTTTACCTACTAACTGCTGCCTTTCAGCTTATGACCACTGAATGCTGCTGCTGTCGTACTGTCTGGTTTGGGCCTTGCTGTATGTGGAGCCTTGTTGCCTTCGACACAACCCAACCGATGACTGAGAAAGTCGCGGTATTCACACATACTCTTAGAACCTTATTAAAGCATTTAGATTTTACTGGAAATCAGTCATTTTTTTACACTGAGGGTTGAACTTTGGGCCCCATGTAGTGGTGTAATTAACCTGTTTAAGATTAAATACTCTACACCATCTTAAAAAATGAGGGAACATTTGATTCTCTGACATTAACACTGATGTGATACCTAATGTGCTATTAATAACAGACAACATGCTTCTTCAGTCGCTGTATGTTTTGTAGTCGTACTGGGTTTTGCACCACCCATCTTTGTTCCAGCAGGTGGGAATCTAATCCGTGTTTAATGAGCCATAGACTCGAAGCTAAACTTGATTAAGACAGTTAAGATTACTGTAGCCTAAAAATCTAACTCATACACTACTTAGTGCAGTCAGAAATGTCTAGAGCTCATGGTCAAGGTGACATCACCAAATGGCTCCAGTGCCAAAATTTTCTTCTACACCTGCACTTGAAACAGAATAACTTTGGAATTTGAAGTTCCATATTTAAAAATCCCACCAGGAGGCAGTTCCAATCCATGCTTCCTTCAGTCTGGAGGCCTAATTGATCAAATTAACTAAATGAGTTTATTAGCAGTGCTAATGTTGTTAATGGATCAGTGCTGGTGGGAGAAGAAGCTTCAGTGCTAAATGATAATGATTCAGGGACTTTACTAGATTTGAAGGTTTGGTGAATTTATGTGTTTTCAGACAAAGCTGCTGCTCTGTTCTTCCAGAAATCAATTCAGACATGTCTGCTGTAAATGCCCCCCCTCTTCCACACGTACATCCGCCTCAGGAAGCTATTATGGCCCCAGAAACAGGGGGGTCCGCCCCGTTGGAGATGTCAACATCTCATCCCTGCCTTTTGTTGCAGATTATCACCGAATGAGTCACCCAATTCAGCTGCACAAAGGAAGCAGCCGGGCTCTGCCTGTGGCCAATTTGTTTTCCATCACTTCTGAAGAGCACTTGGTTAAATTAACCCGTCACACTGAGTCTGTGGGGAGAAGACAAAGTGAGGCCGCAAGAAACAATCACTTTATGATCTGTGAGTTAAGATGGTACTGGAAAAGCTGTGCTCTCCAGTTGCTTATTTAGAGAAAGTCAAGTTGTGCTCCACATGTGGAGAAATGGGAAGTGTTACAAAAGCCTAAAGGAAATAAAGAACAAATGAAGCACCGTGATTGTTGCTCCTCCTCTAACCAAGATGCTTTTAAAACAAATGACCCCGTCAGTCAGGTTTCGGTGCTGAAGGTTTTACTGATTACTTCTGTTCAGTTGGTAGAACACCGTGTTATCAAGCTAAATGCCAAACGTGCAGGATTTATTTTCACAGATGTGAAGATTTGCTGCTTTTCTCTGTTTTATATCAGTGTAAATTGAATATCGCAGTTGTTAGTGTAGCATGTTGTTAACTGCTGCCTGCGTTTCTACAGTAGATTTAAGTTGTGCTGGCTTTTCTCCACCGTTTCCATGATGATTCATGGATTCATGGATTTTTCTCCTTTCTTTCTCGGTAATATGGCAATCACAAGGGCTGAAGCCAGTGTTTCTGTGGAGGTTTAGGCTCCATTTGAATTTCAAAGCCTTGCCAGTGAATTCTTAATAGACTTGTGAGTAAGCTCCGGGGCAGCTTATGGCGTTCCTGTTATGCCAGGCTCACAGGACAACGCTCGTTCCTCCCCAGCCAATCAAAGTTCCTGCAGCCCGGTGTGCTGTCTTGGCACTGAGCTACTGCATTTACCACACATCTGAACTCCAGCTCCTTTTATTTCACATGTATTGTCCTTTCTCTTCACAAACAGATTCTCCTTCCCTGTCTTTACATTTTCTCTGGGGGGTCCTGGTCAGATGCTTCCTCTCCTCTGTCCCTTCCTCCCTTTCTCTCTTCTCATCATGTCCATGCAGCCTTAGGTGCTTTTCATCCCCAAGGGAGGAGAAGACATGTGGGTGAGAGCCAGAGAGGGGAAGAGAGAGAGGGAGAGAAGGCTGCCGTCCCTGGAAGTGGCAGGGTCCCCTTCAGATGCGAGTTCACTCTGGGTGCTGCTGTGTGTGTGTGTGTGTGTGTGTGTACGAGTGTGTACACTTATATGTGTGTGGCTGGTGGGGGGGGGCATGGGAGGAGTCTTGGTGCTGTTATTTGTAAAAGCCTTTGATGGATGATTGCTCTGTGTGTGTGTGTGTGTGTGTGTGTGTGTGTGTGTGAGAGAGAGAGAGAGGTGGGTCGTGAGGGAGTCCCCCTTTCTTTTTTTTTTAGTGGCTCACTGTTCAGTGCACAATGACTCAATGAAAAGTGGAGGGGAGAGGGAAGCACACTGTATGGCTGCACGGGAGAGAGAGAAAGCACAGAGCACAGGAGAGTAGAAGAAGAGCAGGCAATTGGACGGGGCTCTAAAGCTGGGGACAAGAAGAAGAGGACGAGGAGGATATACTTGTCTTTTATACCTTCTCTGAAAGGCCACTTTTGTAGCTCTTCAGTCCCAGCTGAACTTCACCTGTTTGTGCTGTGTGTCTCAGCATTTCACTCACTGCATTTCAAGCATTTTTGTCCACTTTTAAGGGAGATATCACCGGTGGTGGTTACTCATTCTGAGGTGAAGGGATAGGATCTGTGCTGGTTTCTGCAGTGTCGTGGAACGCCGCAGGATGCCTGCTGGGAGAAGCTGCAGCAGAGCCAGGGCAGGAGGCAGGAGGATGGCGGCAGTGGCAGCGGCCCCAGGCCAGGATCTTCAGCCTGGCCTCCGGATGATGCTTGCTTGGGGCATCCTGGTGGTGCTGGCAGGACGGGGAGGTGCGGTGGCGTGCCCTGCTCCCTGCAGGTGCCTGGGGAACACGGTGGACTGCCACGGCCTGGGGATCCACTCCGTACCCAAAAACATCCCTAAAGGAACTGAGAGGCTGTGAGTAGCCATTCTCTGACCACTTATGTGTTCTTGTTTCTCTATACTTCTGAGGGCCGAATGGTCACAGCTGGGCAGTAAAATGAGAGGAATCCTTCAAAGTGACTGCATATTGCTGCTCCTCACTTACGGGAGCGATTCATATTTGTGTTCATGGTTAAGACCTGGTTTTAGTTTTGGTGTTGTTTATAATTCAGGGTATGAAGGTCCTCAGAAGTATAATTAAACATGCATATATTTGTATTTGCCTGTGTAAGGTGGATGTGTGTAAAAGAAAGATGAAGGAGAGGGATTTTGTGTCGAGGTGCAGGTTCGTCTGTACTGGTCGATGGAATTTGCAGTGTGACTCGCCCTGTGTGCAGGCATTTTAAAGAATAAGCAAACACACACAGACTCTTGACCTGACTTGCTGCTCTGCAGAGTCATTGCTCTTTCCTGCAGATTTTCCCTGTTGCTGTGGCACGTTTACTATTTCTTTTTATCTTTTCAGCGTATATTCTTCACAAATTCCTCATCATCAGTAATCACAACCACATCCAGCTCTTCTTTCCCCCAGCATTCTTCCCATTTCATTCTTCTCTTCCTTGGCTTGTTTCAACTTATACAGTACAACTTCCCAATGTTTAGAAGAGTGTAATATAATCTCAGTTTATTTGTGTATGTGTATCCTCTTCACAACCCCAAATCAGAAGAAGTTGGGATGGTGTGTAAAATCTACATTAAAGCTGAAAACAGTGATGTGTAAATCATCATGTCCTGTGTGACGTTGAAAACAATCCAGCAGCACATTATTGGATGTGACACCTCATCGATTTTATTCTTTCTTCAAATTAAACTTTATTCCAAAAAGAAAAGTTGGGGCGTTGCATTTCAGGACCAGTAATGAGGTAAAACAGTGAAATGATGACTCCATATGATCCAGGTGATGTCAACAGGTGACTACATCATGATTTGGTACAACAGTGGAATCCAGGAAAGGCCGAGCCCTTTAGGAGCGAAGATGGGCCGAGGACCAGCAGTTTGCCAACATATGTGTGAGAAGATTATTGAAATGTTTAAAACCAATGTTCCTCAAAGACCGATAGGAAGGGATGTGGATGTGTTGCCCTCTACGCTGCAGAGCATCATTAAAAGATCCAAAGACTATGGAGGGATTTCAGTGTGTAACGGGCCGAGCCTGAGCTGGATGACCGAGCTCTCCGATCCCTCAGACGGCACTGCAGCTTCTATCAGCGGTATAACCACATGGGCTCAGGATGACTCTGGCTCACCTGTGTCAGCCACTACAATACGTAGTTACATCCAGAAGTGCTGTGCCAAAGGAAGCTCTATGTCAACAGTGTCCAGAGGTCGACTGCTCTGGGCTCAGAGGCGTCTGGGACGGACCATCACACAGTGGAAACGTGCACTGTGGTCAGACGAATCATTACTTCAGGTCTTTATTGGAAGGAATGGACGTTGTGTGCTCTGGACCAAAAACAAAAGGACCACCTAGACTGTTATCAGCAACAAGTCCAAAAGCCAGGGTCCATCATGGTCTGGGGTCATATCAGTGCCCAGGGCAAAGGTCACTCAGACTTCTGTGATGCTCCATTAATGCTGAAAAGTACAGAGAGATGTTGGAGCAACATCTGCTGCCTTCAGGACGACATCTTATCCAGGGATGCTAACAAAGATATTTTTACAGTGTTACTTAGCTCATTACCAAGGCCGGGGTGGGGAGGAAAGGGGTGTGAGTGCTGGACTAGCCTGCCTGCAGTCCCCACCTGTCCCCAGTACAGAATGTGTGGAGCATTTTGAAATGCAGATTATGTCACATCTTAAGACGTGTTTGCAGGAAGAATGGGACAAAATGACACCGGACACATTGACTGACTTGGTGTCCTGGGTCCCTAAACGTCTTTTAAGTGTTGTGAGAGGGAACGGTATCAACAAAGAATTAAACTGATGAGGTGTCATATCAATAATGTGCTGCTCACACAGGACACAGACGAGTTACACATCACTGTTTTCAGTTTTAATTTTGATTTTACATCCCATCCCAACTTTTTCTGATTTGGGGATGTAGCTGCTTCTCTTCCTGTAAAATAAATATCATTGTCAACCATGAGAATAAAGTCTGGAGTCTCCTCACTGCACATATTTTAACTTTATATTAACGTACATTTATAGTCCCTGCCCACTTTATTAGGGACACCTGTACTGTCTAATGAAACCCAGTAGCACAGCTGTGCCACAGTGTGTATTTTACCTATATGAGGCCATAGTTAGGCGCCTTAATGTACTGGATTGTAGATGTTTTTAATAAGATTCTGACTGGTAGTGTAGTTGTAAATGGGGCTGGTGAAACAATAGAAACATCCCTCATGTTGTCACTGACCTGCCCATGAGAACAAACAGCTGGATCATATTAACTCAAGTCACAGCTGTTTATTTCCAACCTTACTTGTTAGTTTATGTGGTAGCTTTCTATGTTTTCAAGAATGTCTATCAACAAGAGTCAGGCAAGCAGCGAAAACAATTCTCTAATATAAAGCTTTCTACCTAAGACCATCAGCTGCTCGTAACGTCTCTTTGCTCCTCCCATCACATCCCGTTTTCTAGTGACGACGTGAACTACAGATGCCTGGCTGGGACAAACTGTTCAAAATGCAGCCTCCAGTCTGAAGCTAGCATTAGCTGGCTAACAGTAAATGTGTCAGCCCTGTAGAATGCTCTGGTCAGAGCAGAGCTCCTCCATGGCTGTTTGACCTGACCCTTCTTCTAACCTTTGTTTCTGTCCCGCTCGAAGTGTGTGTCCTGTACAGGCCTCTCAGTGCAGGGGGAACATGCATGTGTGTGTGTGTTTATTTCAGGTTCTAGAGTATCTGTGTGTTAATAATTGATGATCGGCAGTGGTTGCAGCAGAGATACTGTATATTATCCTTTGTCCTCTCAGGTTTACTGTAGCATAGATGACGTTTCCCCTCTGAGGCTGATGGCTTCATGGCTGAGGATGACGGCCTGGGCTCCCGCTCCTAGAGAAAGGCCTGGAAAAAAACTCAGAGCCTGTAGACCCACTTTATAATCACTGAGCTGGTGCCTTTTGATGGAGGTTTTCTAGCTGTATAAAGTAACGGTGGAGAAACTGGAAAAAAACCCTTAGTATCTGTACTGTCTCTTGATGTGAGAGAACTGTTGCTGATGTTAAATACAGGTACCGTGTCATTTAATGGAGCTGACAGGTGTAATTAATGTTCTGAAAATTTAAATGGCATCAGAACTTTTGATATTTTATGTTGGCATGTGTCGACATAATCAGTAGGGAGGTACATTTGTATACAGAGGTTGAAAGTAACTAAGTATATTTACTCAACTGCTGTTCTTTAGTACTACAGTATTTTTATTTTCTGCCACTTTAACTTCACTACATTTCACAAATGTACAAAAGTATTGTAGTTTTTACTCTGCTGCATTTATTCGATAACTTGAGATTCTAACTACGTTTCAGAAAAGGGTTAATAAAACAAAGTATTACAAGACTTATGGAGCCGTGTTGTAAAAATCACAAGCTACCGCGCAGTACTTCAAATTATAAGCATGTGGGGAAGTTAAAATTAGCTCCACCTTTACCAGCTGCAACATTAAATGTGATGCACACAATAATACATCGATAATTATAATCGAATAATGTGTAATACATCAAAGTAAACTGTTGCATAATGAGTACATTTACTTTTTGGTACTTGAAGTCTGTTCTATACTAATGCTTTTGTACTTAAGTAACATTTTGAAGGCAAGACTTGTATTTTTCCACTGTGGTATTGCTACTTGTATTTAAGTAAACAATCTGAGTGTCTTACACTGTTTGTTGTAGAGATCATTGTGTTTTATTTATTTTACTTTTTGTAAAATACAGAAAATCATCTAAAATAACATCCAGTACCTATTGTATGAAGTACCCAAACACAAAGACTGGAGAGCTGTCACTGCTGCGTAGAAAAATCCTGCAGGTTTTGTTTGTGAAAGAAAAAAACCCTGAACTTTAGAGATGTTAAACATAGTTGTCATGCAGCTCCAACTGCTCTAAAAATGACATGACATGCTCTGACTTTTTAAAATGAATTTGACAGCTTTTCAAGGCATATTTTCCTCTTTTTGATCAAGCAGTTCTCCCCTCATCAGCATCTCTGTCACAGCTGGACTAAACACGTCCTGTATAGACGCCTTTTACAGAGACTAAAGTCACACTGATCTTCTCCGTTCACACTAGGAATATACAAAACATGTTACCTTTTGATTATAGATAAAGCCTTTGCTCTGTGGCCCTGCAGTCAGTGTTGGTTTTTTGTACAGTGTCAAGGTTTTGAGATATGTATCTGACATTTTTTAGAGTTGAAAGAAATTTTGTTTATTGAAAAATCAATTTTGAACGATTAAACAGCAGCGTATCTTCCCATTTTCTGTTGCTGTTACTCTTAGTAAAATGCAGAACACAGTAACAGATTTCACAGGGATTCTTCTCACCGTTCATCCCTATGTAACCTGTTCAACAGGAACTCTGTGGACGATTCATAACCACCGGGACATAATGTCTGGAAAGATGCATCTTAATGCTGTGACTACCACAAATGAGATTTCTTTAACCTCAGTTCTGTTGGGTGCAGAGACAAATGTCAGAGTTAAATATCTCAAAGTCTTGATACATAATATACGAACTGCCTGCAGAGCGACGTTCCACCTGAGGTCAAGTCACAAGCTCTGTGTTATTGTGTTTTGTGAGAACCGACCTTTTAGAAAGAATAAGACCTACACCAGAGAATGACCAGTGACTCAGAGCATGTAAACATTGTCAGTGTGACCTTGTGACCCCTGGGGCCTCCCGGAGCGCTACTAACCCAACGTCCTCCAGCCTCAGATAGTTGCTGCTCTGTAGCGGAGCGGAGTGACTCATTAAACAGCTATTTGTTAAAGTGCTCGTCGCTCAATTAGCATGTAAAGTGATCTGTGTGTGTGTCAGC